TTGAACTTTCCAAAGAATCCCACGATGTAGTCAAAGGAACTATGCCTGCCACACAGACGCTACATTGGTTCTTGAAAATGAATGAAAAAAAAAAAAAAAAAAAAAAAAAAAAAAAAACCAAAAAACCAAAAAAACAAAAACACACAACATGACAGTTTATCCACAATTTTGAACACAATATATTATGCCCTAAAGTTAAAACATTTTTCTTATAAATAGAAACTGGATTATTAAAGACAGAAAAGATAATTCAAGGTAGAATTTATTTAGCAATAATTATCTATCCATCTCAGTCTGCTTTTTATCTATGTTCATCACTCATTTATATCTTGCTCTGTATTATATATATATATATATATATATATATATATATATATATATCTGTTCATGTCTCTGTTCGTGTATATATATATATATATATATATATATATATCTCAGTCTGTTCACATCTATCTAAAATCGTTTTACCCAATAAGAACCAATTATTTTCAACAACTGTCTACAGTATTTTTTTTGTATTTCCTTTCATTATTTTGACTCAATTATTTGCAGAATCCATAAAATCCAATTAAAGTGAATGTAAAAATGTAGACATGGTGATATGTCACTGGCAGCCAATTTTCCTCAAATTTGGAACATATTTAAAAGGAAATTTTGTAGATTGTTCAGTAATTCTTAACCGAGAAAAAAGTTAATTGATGACCTTAATAACAAGATAACGAAAACTATTTTTTTTAACAATATTTCAGCTGATGAAGTACGGCCACTGGAGAGAGTCAAAAAACGACCATTGTTAACACCACTATAGTTTCACTATGATTATTACATTCCTAACAAGATTGCTACAACTGCTACTAGCCTCGATCGTACGCGCTCTTGGAGACTTCGTTGGCAGCATCGGTTAATCGAAAATTTAACTGATGTACAGAACAGCTGCAAATCATAATGCATACCATCACATTCTTCGTGAAAAGTTGCATATATGGAGCAATTTCCAATTGTCTCCAGAGAAGCATCTATCAAATCAGTCATTTATGTGCCATACGTGATACACACTTAAGCGATCATCTATCTTTCAATACATGACTGACGAGGTAGAGTTTTTCCTGCAGTAGGTTGCAATTTCTTTATGCGGTAGACCAGTTGCCATCCAAAAGGTATAGAATCCCGTCCGTCTTGCTATTTACCCATAGCTGTGGGGGGGGGAGTGGATTCATACCCTCCCCAAGGGCATTAGTACGTAAATGAATGTAATGGATTCGAATGGAATTCGAACTCTGCTCTACGATTTCTCAATTCAAGCTGTTATCCAGTACTCCACTGTGCCTTCTCCTTTATCAAATACATACTAACTGTTCGTGTCGATCATAGCTCAATAAAATCACATGACACCGAGCAACAAAACAAGGATTTTGTTTGAATATCTGGGATGAGGAGTTACTATTTACAGGTTTTATATTTGGAGTATTGTCCTCATCTTAGTTTTTTTGTTTTTTTTTAATGAAAATGTTTCCGAGAGGTTGTGATAAAATCAAAGATGAGGACAATAGCCCGAATATAAATAGTTTAAATAGATCCTTACTCATAACGCAAAAATATTCACATAAACGATAAAAACAAAAAAGACTAAAGATACTAGAAAAATTGAAAGAACAAAATACAAACAACCCGACATCAATAAAATGTTATGACATTTAAAAAACAAAACAAAAAACACAGTAAATATTTTTCATAAAAAAACATTAGACAGAACGAATTGTCACGTGAAGAGGCGATATTTGAAAAACGATACGCTCACGCATATATATTTTCATTCCACGGTAGCACAACTCAGAGTTTTATGCATGATTGGCAACTAACCATTGTATAATTTAAATACGGATATTTATACCGTGCTGTAATGATAGTTGAACAGTTCATTTTTTTTTTTTTTAGGGTTGGGTGAGGAATTATATATATTTCTCGACGCATCCATATCTGCTCCGTTTCGTGTCCTTACGTAAACAAAGACAATTCATTTTAAGGAAATGGATTAAATCCGACAGTGTTTGAAAACACATACAAAACCAAGCGGATACGGATGTTTCGAGAATCGACTGAGAGTGCGTGTTCAAAAGCCTTATTCTGGCCTTGTTTGACCCGAGAGTCCTACGTGGTCGAGCAGATAGGCACATCAGAGTAATGACGGTTCCCTATACGAGATGCTGGTTCAAATCCTGCGGGCGTTTTCTCGAATATGCGGAACGGTAGATGTAGTTGGATAAAAAATACTGTTAATTAAAAAAAACAGAACTTCTAATCGAATATGTTTATCCATCAAAAATACCGTTTCAACAAAATAAATTAAAAATAAATGTTGGAATTAATCCATTTATATATATATATATATATATATATATATATATATTGTGTATTTAGGCAGCATCTTTTCATTCATGCACGTTTCATTAAATAATATAGACGTTACGAAAATTTTTTACATAAAATAAAGACAACACTTGTCTATATTATTTAATTAAACACGTGCATATATATATATATATTCTAGCCGAGTAACCTGGCGTTGCTCGGGTATACATAAGTTGTATACTCGCACCCCTGTCAAGAAATGTTTGCCTGCGCCCCCCTTGCATGCATCATTCGCTGGTATACTAAGTTACTCCCCAACTCATCTTTTTTACGGTTTTTCCTTCGCAAGCACCTTATTGTTCCTGATAGCGGAATTCAATCAATAAAACCTTGTGTGCTCGTTGCTCGGGGTTAAATTGTTTCAATGTTTTAGATATTCGGTAACTTTTCTATGGCCGTAATAACTTTCAAATGGTATGACATTGTTCCCAAATCTAATAATCAAACAAAAACAGGGATAAAGTATCAGAGATTGATTCAGTTGCAAGTGTAAACGCATGAACGCCCCCTCCTTCTTTGCACGTTTACTGTAAAGCTGGAGTTAATAAGAGGTTCTTCGAGAATTTTTCCCTTTTAACGCTTCAGTAATCCCCCTCAAAAAATCTATGCATCAAAGATTGTTCGAATGCCAATTTAGAATAGAATAATATGAAGAAACTATTGCCTGAATGGCTAAAGCCGATTTTGGACCTAGTTTGTTGCAGATTTCGTCCACTTATCTGAAATAATCTAAACCAAACATTCACGCAAGACAATTTGTGTCTCATATGTAATTTACAAATTTGGAAAGTATCAGTTGAAAAAACCAGGGAGATATGTCCGGAAAAAAAAGTCATTTTGAACAGTTTTTCGTGTTTTTTTCGGGAAACGAGCAGTACTAAAAGCATATTATCTTATTTCTTGGATGATGGCAAAAAAAAATTGCAACATGTTTGAAGTAAATCGGATAAAAAAAATGATTAAGTTATTCAATTTTTTTTTTACTTTAAGTTGTACGAAAAACCGATTTTTTCAGTTTGTGTGTGAAGCCAATGTCGCACGAAAACTATCAGGCACTCTACATAAACCTCGTAACATGAAATATGTTTTGCATTAAGTGTAAAGAACATCTGCTCATGCAGTAAAACTTTTGCTTGCTTGTATCTTTGCTTTAGTTTTTGCAAAAAGTCGTACCCATTTTCTGCCAAACCCGGTGCGGTGGGTGCTGGAGATTGAAATGTTGGCCATGAACTACCTTCGTAAATTTGCTACATGTGTATATAATTTCATCGAAATCAGTCGTGAAATGTGGACGTGCATAAATAGCATAAACACGCATAGACATCTCCGATTTATATATAACTACTACTGCAACAATCTTCAATAAAAGGAATCGAGTTCTGTCGTGTTTATCTAACAATAAATACGCTTGAATTCACCTTCATCCTTAGGGATAGATTCTCCGACTGACGCCATTTCAGCAGGGTTTCGATCCTAGCTAGAGGCCACCGGACGTCTAGCCACACTGATGAGTTGTGATACAGCGAAACAGTCTGTGGATGACTATATAACTTTAATTTAAATACAAATATATACATCCAATATCTTGTTGCAAATACAATACATGTAACCATTAGTACTAGCACAAAATGTTTGATATTATATATAAGGATCCTTCTTCATATTATATTTCATATTTACAATATTTTATTGAATGTTCGGGGAGAATCCTTGTCTCTTGGCCAGAGTGGCAGTAACAGTGGTGCGGGCAAAAATAATAGGATTAAGATCATCGGATACCGAGCAAAGACCGTAGGGCCTATCACCCGAAAGATACTGATCCCAACATCCGAAGAGAGGATGAGAAGTTGGAAGAAAGGAAAAGCGAATAAGAGGAAAAAAAAAAGCCATAAAAAAAAAAAAAAAAAAAAGCCATTAAAAAAAAAAAAAAAAAAAGAAGCCATTAAAAAAAAAATAAAAAAAAGAAGACATTAAAAAATAAAAAAAAAGACATTAAAAAAATAAAAAAAAAAGACATTAAAAAAATAAAAAAAAAAGACATTAAAAAAATAAAAAAAAAGAAGACATTAAAAAAATAAAAAAAAGAAGACATTAAAAAAATAAAAAAAAGAAGACATTAAAAAAATAAAACACATTAATAAAAAACCCAAAAAAACAGCATTATAAAAAAAACAATTAAAAAAAATAAAAAAAACAATTAAAAAAAACATTAAAAAACATTAAAAAAATAAAATAAAAAAAGGGAAAAAGAAGAATAAGAACGTTTGTTTGAAGCACACACACGCGCGCACACAGAGAAACGAATAAGATTCAAATAACTCTTTATAAGTATTTGGTCAAAAGACATCTGCATGCACACAATAAAAAGTTGCTCTGTATAGTTGCAAAGTTTATTGTACTAAGATTTTCGATTTCAATTAGGCTTTGTTCTTTCCCTACAATAAGGATTGTTTGTCTGCAGCTGATACATAGATATTAAATAATCAGTGGAAAACAAGAACTTTTTATTTGACTTGGATCATGTGAAAACAAAGTTGAAACAAGAAGCCAAAAAATATCTAGTCACGACAACCATTGTTATCCATGACAATATGAATATAGCAGATGTTTCCAGTAGTGCGTTTTTATCTATCTGTCTATATTATTCACATCTATATATGCCTATTAATAACTCAGCATATTCTTACCTATCTATACTTGTAAATATCTCAGTCTATGAGTATCAAAGCGCGTCATTATGTAAGTATATTCACATCTCAGTCAATGATGAAGCTTTAATAAAAGGGAAACATGTTAGATTGATAAACGTTTTAAATTTGTTTTTTTATCTTACCATTCTGGTGGACACCGATCTCTATTTAATCCTAACACATTCACGTCTTATTTTACTAATATCTCAGCATATCCCTATCCATCAATCTCAGTATATTCACATATATAAGTCTATGAGCATCTCAGCAGTTTTGTAGCCATCTCCGATCGTTCAGATCGAGCTAGCCGTCACCGATCGTTCAGATCTAGGTTTGTAAATTCACATCTATCTATTGATGTCTTTTCTAATCTATCTCACTTGCACATTTACAAAAGTAAAAATGAAATGCAAAAAATTGAAAAATATGACCACAGCTCAGGGAACTAAATATAGGACAGCTAAGCAAGTTTTTATTTAAACACACACACAAAAAAACTTCACATAATCTCCCTTCTTTGTCAATGAACTTAACCCGATACTTTTACACATGGTTTGAAAATTATAAAATTAAAATCTCACATAAAAATTCAGAAAATAAATCATGTTGTAAATCTAGTGAGCTACCACCATGATGGAGATGTCGTTAAACGCGTTACATATCGAGGCCTAGTGATATTCGTGCATATATCGATCGTCACATCACAAACAATCAATTTACGACTATTATCATAAAATAAATATTACGAAACAATACCAAAAATAGTATTAAGTGCACACACCAGATTCCAAATAGTGGAAACTATTATGAAATTGATTGATTTGTTTTTGTTTTTTTTTACGACTTCCCAAGCTTTTGTGTTATTTAAATCCATTTTCGATTCTAAGAATATTGCATTAACAGAGAATAAGAACGATATTTCCAGATATAATCCTTCAGTATCTGTCTATATTTCGGAGATGAGGTATTATGTACATAATTTACATTATTCGGACTATTGTCCTCATATTTGTCGCCGTATTTATTACAACGTTTCGTCCGTTGTAAGCTCCAGCCTTCTTCAGGTGGTTGAAATGTCGAACTGAACCCTTTATTTCGCTCACTGGGGTAGACTGTTCTAGTCCCTCATGCCATGTTTAATGAGATATAATCCTGTTTAACCCATAGTTAGGGAGAGGAGATAGATTTATAATCTTCTCATTTCCGGTGATGTTAGGCTCTGTGAAATCTCATACCATCACTCATACTATACACGTTTACATAAACTTGAAATCTAACATTCTAAAATATGCCAACAAACCCTTCTCTGGAATAATAACAACATTTATTTCCTGATATTGACCGTAGAGTACTCGACAAAAAGAAAAAAAATACAACCAAATCATGAAATTTAAACAGTTCATCCACAATTCTGATTCGAATGTGTAACAACTTTGTTTTATAACCATTTCACCCCAAGCAAGGCGGGAATGCCACTAGTACGCAGAGGGTTACAAGGAGTGAAAGTGAAAGAGAAGACTAAGACTTTTTGACTGCTGACCTGAGATGGAACAAATACATTGAGTCCATTGCTTCGTCCACCGCGAGGAAAGTTGGCTCTCTGTGCCGCGCCAGGAAATTTTTCTCCCCGGAATCGACACTTCAAATATATAAATCAACCATTCGCCCTTGCATGGAGTATTGCTGCCATATATGGTCTGGTGCACCTTCTGTTTACCTCGGAGTTCTTGACAAGATCCAGAGGCGGATATGTAATATAACTGGCCCTGATCTGGCATCTCGTCTACAGTTGCTCTCTCAACAGACGCGCCGTCACCTCTGTCTTTTCTACAAATACTTTCATGGTAATTGCTCCGATGAGCTGCTTTCACTGGAACCCAGACTTCATGAATTCAAGCGCCCTACGAGGCTGGCATCCCGCTCTCACCCTTTCACTGTAGAAACTTAAATGTAGCCGTCTCTTCTACTCCAATAGCTTCATACCTCGCACCTCTCGTCTGTGGAACACCCTTCCATATTACTGTTTTCCTGTGAGCTATAATCTCCAACTATTCAAATGTAATGTCAATCGATTTTTCCATCTCATCCTTTCTTCTATCACTCCTATCTGCTCTCGCTCCAAATCTTCTGCAACCCCCTGCATCCTAGTGGCTTCACGCCTTGCTCGGGGCCTAATGCTTTAAAAAAAGAAAAAAAAAGAGGATTGAGGAAACGACAAAAGATGAATGGGATTCAATTGACGTTCCATTTACATTTTTGAAGATTGTTATAATCAGGGAAGCAAGTAAACAGAAGGGAGTTCCACAGGTGGGAATCGCAAGAAAAACTGTTCGAGTAGAAGTTGTGGTTGCATTTAGCTATTTCAATAGTAAAAGGGTGGGATCTAGATGCCAATCGAGTTGCACATTTAAATTCTTGTAGTCGGGGGCACCATGAAAAAAGCTCGACAGAGCAGTTATTCAAAATTTGTAAAAATATGAAAAAATATGAAAAAAATAATCAACTCGTATTGGTTGAATTTAATTGTTTAAATGAATTATCGCTCGATATGCGTTTCAATGAAATTGACGGATAAGGAACATTTTATGAGTTTTTTTTTTTCTTTTTAAATCTGTTTCACATGTTTGTACGGTGAAATATTTCGTTTTATGAACTTTTAAAATACGACAGAAAATTAAAATTGTATTTTTTTCCTGAGAAGGTAGTGTTGTTACTTGCAGTTTCATTTTAAAAAATAACTTTACTCAGATAATGTCTTCCAATTCAACGCAATTTCAACAATGAAGGATTATACTTGATTTTCCCTCTACGCCCGTAAACTTAGATGATAGACATTAACTATGAAGCGATATAGGGTTTGCTCATTAAACGAGCGGTGACTCTTTAATTGGGCATGAGAGCTCAGTTCACTTTCATCTACTTACAATCAGTCTTAACCTAAATATTTCCCTCTAGGACGAGTGTGGGTTGGGAGCTGCGGGTCATGCCTTAAGAAAAGTCATGACCCGCAGAAAGGGGTGTTCAGGCTTCATATGAAGAAATGTGAAGAACTGGATGAATCGCCGACACCCATCTCTTCCCCACTTTTATCAAAGTCTCGTAGCAGCCATCCCGTCTCGATTTCGAAGTACACGAATAAGGCAGAATTTTTTCAAGGTGTCTTTCGCCGTCCATCACTTTTCGACGACGGGGTCAGTTTTACGAATCCAACCCCAACAATCACCGGAAAAGCGGCATCTAAAACCCAACCAGGTGCCGATTCATAGAGTTCCGCTAAAATTGAAATACGGCGCAATAAGTCATAGATTCACTCTTACGCCGAGTCAGAATTTTCGAATTTTCCAAATGGACGTCATGAAGACGAGAAAGACCGCAGTTTCGCTGACAATCCATTAAGAATTACATTCAAGATTGACCCTCACGCAACAATAAATGAGTTGGAAGAAAAAAAAAAAAATAGAAATGATATAAGCCTAATCGTCATGAGCAAAGCAAGTAATTCCAGCCAACCGTGTGTAATTAGAAACCAGAAAAAAAATTGGATAAATACATCTGACTTTACAGTTGAGAATTTTATTTTTTTCTATAGCTTGTCATTTCAAGACATTTATCTTCAAACTACTTAATTCCTCTACACATCCATCTATCTACCCGCGAAAGAGATTTACTTGAATTAAGTCGATCTGAAAAAGAAAATCCACTTTTGATGCTGCAGAGAGAAAACGAAATGAATTAGATAAACCAATAGCTGAAGTTTCGCTGTGATTAGCGGTATCGCTTAGGTTGATTCCGAAGTGAAGAAACAAAGTACTGCCTGAGGTGAACTTTAATCAATAGAACCTGTCATGAAGTTGATAACTATGAGATTACAGAAAGGAAGACAGTTTTTGAACGTTATATGTATGAATATTGTGCTCGTTGAAGATTTACAACTATCCTTTAGAAAAAAAACAAAAGGAAAATAAAATTCAAATTTGGAAATAGTTGACAACGACTATTTATAACCTTAGCCTATCCACATCTATCACACTTTAAATAGATTTCTTCTTGTTTGCCGTGTCCCTTCAGGACGTGGGCGATCATGAAACTTCACAATTTCCTTAGAAAATATTGTCTTTTTTCTACCTCTCCTAATCTGTTCTGCCAACCATTTACACAAACTTTTTTTGGCACAGTGATGTTCACCCTGTATAAGGAATAAGAGCCACTCGTGGTAGAGGGTTACAGAGCAAGATACAGTTTAAGCGGATATCTGAGGAAGATTAAATCTATACAGAAACAGGTTAAGATAGTAGTAGTGATCGAGAAAGCATCTTCTTGGGAGTCGGTTCCACAAAGTGGTGGTTCGTGGGAAGAGGCTGCTCGTGTGGAATTTACCCGTCACCACTGGAATACAAAGGAAATGAAATAATTCGCTATAATGTACGTAGTTTAGCGTGTCTTAGCCGTGAAGGTCAAAACTAGTAGAACTAAGAGATGTGTTATTTTCCTCTGTCCTTCTGGTTGGTAATATGCCCTGTAAATGTCAAACTTCGCAAGTGCTCTTTCCTCATTATGTACCATATAAATTTCAGCTGTCTCTTCCTGATGTTGAATATAAGTGTCCTTTTTGTTTGCATTTTGCTCAAAATTTCCTTATTGCTCACGTGTTCAGTTTATGGAATTCTCGGCATCCGCTTATAGAACTGCCTTTCTATTGCATCAAGTTTCTTCATCTGCGATGAGAGTTCCCAGTACATACAACCCTATGGAAGAACTGATATGACATAGTAATTCTAAATTTATTTATCTTATATACTCATCGTTGTTGCAGTTGTTATCACAATGTTTAGGCCTTTGTGCGCAAAGGTATTCTTTCCGGTCGAAACGTGATAAAAAGATGAGGACAATAGTCGGAACGTAAATCAACACTTCAGCACAGAAATGTTTAACTGTTATATCTATCAAGCTCTTTGCTGATCTGTCAAGCTCTTTGCAGTAATAGCTCTTTGCTGATCTGTCAAGCTCTTTGCTGATCTGTCAAGCTCTTTGCAGTAATAGCTCTTTGCTGATCTGCCAAGCTCTTTGCAGTAATAGCTCTTTGCTGATCTGCCAAGCTCTTTGCAGTAATAGCTCTTTGCTGATCTGCCAAGCTCTTTGCAGTAATAGCTCTTTGCAGTAATAGTTCTTTGCTGATCTGTCAAGCTCTTTGCAGATCTCGTTGTTTGCATATCTGTCAAGCTCTTTGCACATCTAATAAGCTCTCTTCATATCTATCAAGCTATCCAGCTCTCAAAACTTTTGCATTTACCCAGACCATGAAGGGCGCAGTGTGAATAAGATTATTATAGTGTAACCCGGATATAAGATAGATTTTCTCTGGGCCCAAATTAGAGCCTGTGTTAATGTATATAGAT